GTGCAGAGAAGTGCAGTGTCAAGGGCTTTTTTTTTTCATCTGCCACAGGTAGATGGGTTGCAAATCCCGAGGCACGCTACTAATGCCACAGTCGGAATTTCGGGAAAGATCCAAGCGGTGCGTGTTAAATTTCATGCACTCGGCTGTAGGCTCCTTTGACATTTTGACATTCCAACTCCCTTTACTGTGATAATGTAAATCAGTGGCTCCTTCCTCAACCCACCTTCAAGTTTGTCTTGTGCAATTCTGCAGATTCAGATAAGCAATGACAAACAAGACACATGACATGCAGTAAACGTGGGCCAATGCCCCAGATGTCAGTAAGAATCGAGTGGGGTTGCATAGCCTTTTGGCTCTGCAGCAACTACACAGGAGCATACATAAGCACATGAAAACACGTAAGCATGTAAAAGATAGAGTTGAAAAGACGACAAGAATGTTAAGGAGACAGACATGTTGCATCACTATATTTCCATATTTAATACTTGCACACATTTCAGTTCAGTAAAATCAAGAAGACAGAAATTATACTCCATGCAAAAAACGTGGCACATTACAGTGGTAGCTATGAATATATTGGTAGTCTATGAACAGGCTGTAGGTCAGTGGCGAATCCAGGGGTGTGGTTTGAAGCATAGTTTCCTAAATTAACTAGAGGGGACTCTGGCGCTGTGATTGTTCGACTAAGGGGATGATGGGTAGTACACAAACTTGCCTGGTCCTCGTGCTAGCGGGCTTTGAACGTACACGTAAGTTTTTTTTTTGTTGTGTTTTGGTTTTGTAAGGAATGGGTCGGTGTTAACTTCGAGAGCCAATTTTAATTGGTGAGCCTAAAAGGTTAAGGCGGTGAAGTGCAGCTGCTGAACATTTGTCGATTGCCGTCTCGTGACAAGGCAGCTCCAAGCCCCGCGAAGCCAAACGTAGCCGAAAGAACGAAGATTAAGACAAATTTGCGTACCACCCATAATTCCCACACTCACTGAAGTGTTGTGCGTTGCAGCTCCCACAAACACTAGTGCCAGAGTTCCCTCTAATGTACTTATAGAAAACTCTATGGTTTCAAGGGCAGTCTCCACTCCCTCCCCAATTTTATATTTTGTTCTTGCATGTGTGCACACATACATACATACACAAGAAAAAGTGAGCTCCCTCTCTCACCCTCCAAAGAAAAGACGAAAAGTTGCCCATTATAGACTATCTATCCATATAGAATTATTTAGGTATCCGAACAGCACTGCAAATAATGGGATTAGCAGCGAACGGCATACAAACCTTACATATTGTCACACAAAATTGCCATTGCTCCGCACAACGCTAATGAAAAGAAACGCTAATGGTACAACTACGAGCGATGAAGCCAGCTGCAATGCATGAGCTGGCCCTGTATGCGCACAGGACTCCACCGAACAGCCAACGTGCGTGAAGAGAACGAGGGTGCTCTAAGTAGAGGCTCACGAGGACGACCGACTTTCGGATCTTCTTGAATGCTGTGCGTCGTTTCTATTGTTGCTTCCGACCGAAACTCGGCAACAATGCCCGGCGAATTGCAAATGAGTCCCGCGAACAGCTCTTGTTTTACCCCATGCATGAGATGACGCACCTTCTTGTCTTCAGTCATGTTGGGATCAGCTCGCTTGAACAGGCGGGACATGTCTTCTATGTACATAGCGACAGTCTCGTTTGTGCACTGATTCCGTGCATGATGAGCTGCTTCTGCCTATTCCCGGCGACCATTGTTGCCGAACATACACAGTAGCTGCCGCCGGAACTCTTCCCAGGACGTCACAGATGCGTCGAGGTTTTCGTACCTCACTCACGCTGCGTCTTCCAAAGATACGAAAACGTTGCGCAACTTGCCTGCTTCGTTCCATTGGTTTATGTTCCCCACCCGCTCGAAATGATCCAGCCAGTCTTCGACGTCCTCGACCGGGTCACCATGGAACACCTTCGGTATGCCTGGTTGGCTGACAATGAGCTGTGATGGTGCAACTTGGCTAGTCATGGGTGGTGGCGTTTCTTGTCTCCGTCGCCAATGCCCTTGGTACAGAGGGAAGTGGTCCAAATTCCTGTGAATCCCCTCGAGTACGGTGACTGGTTTATTGGTGTACAGGGGTAAGCTCCACGGCTTGCGGATGGTGAGGGCTTGGACTTCGCTATTTCGTGCGATTTGGAATCATTTAACCCGCACTTCCACCAGAAAATGTACGGAAAGTAGCAGCCTCACAAGGATGTCTATTTACACAGCTTATTAAAGGACGAGCTTGTGCCCAAAGTGAACGACGCACAGCATTCAAGAAGATCTGAAGGTCGGTCGTCCTCCTGAGCCTCTGCCTACAGCACCATTGTTCTCTTCTTCTTCCCGCGCGTTGGCTGTTCGGTGAAGTACCGTGCGCATGCAGGGCCGGCTCGTGTATTGCGGCTGGCTTCATCGCTTGTAGTTGTGCTGTTAGCGTTTCTCTACGTTAGCACTGTGCAGAGCAATGGCGATTTCCTGTGGCAATATGACTACAGGTAGCAATGCATACCTTGCACTGTGCAGTGCTTTGTGCATCATTCAACCATGCTTCCACAGCACTGTAGAATTATGGAGCAAACTAAACTAGTAAAGCAGTAATTGATCTCAGGTGTAAGCATTAACTACACCGAGCCTCATAAAAATGAATAAGCAGTGCTCTCTTACAGCTGCCATAAATATATCATCAATTTGAAATTTTGATGGTGCTTGTATGACAGAGCTTGCTTATGTTCCAAGCTTGAATGTCAAAGCCAAGCACATATACTGCAGAGAATAGCTTGTTGCCAAGACAGCTTAATAGCTTTATGCAGCTGTCATTCATGCAGACGGACAAAGAACATCAGCACTGTTATAATATTGAGGAGCGAGACGGTTTTAAAAGAAAGTGCACCAAACGCTGCTACTGTTCTCTATGCCATGCTAATCAGTTACTAATTATAGTCAAAAGTATTTGAAAACGCAGTTCTCGCTTTTGTTGCGTGTCCCGCTCATTTCGAGGTTCCTGCAAAAGCAACTGAGGTGCACGGCACCACCCACAATCTTCATATTCTATCTTCTTTATATTATTTCCACAGTTTACACCGTTCCGAAAGCCAACTAAAGCAAATTATGCAGGGGTTGTTATTTTTCACTGCACCAACCACAGAATCCAAAGGCCGTTTTCTTACAAATGAGCTATGATCACACACACACAAATGATTCTTTTTTTTTTTTTTTTTTTTTACTCTAAGCTGATTTAAACGTCTCGGTCTGGTTTTCAGAATGCGGTACCGACCCCCACTCTTTTTACACTCAACGTTAAAACGAAAGCTATGCTTACGACTCTTTTTTTTTATTTACAAAGTGCGTCAATCACGAATGGTGAAATAAGAACGATGAATGATTGTTTGAAATGAGAGCGCACTACTTAGACGCGGACAGGACAGACGGGGACAAGCGCTTACTACCAACTGAACTTTTATTCGGAAAGCTTTTAAACAGCCATGTATCACCAACTCGCCCAATCAACCATATCGACAAGAACAATGAAAGGAACACAAGTCTCGCATGCAGCCAACGCGAATTCAAACGAAAGGTTACCTAATGAGGCGATCTTTTTTCGTTCATCGACAGTGACCAAACGTCGCCAGAGGGACGGATATTTCTTGTAAAGTGATCCACGAAACATGCGAAGGTAGTTTCCCACCTGTCGTAGAAAAATAAGAGTAGTTGACATTGCGGCAAACGATCCGACTCTTGTCCATGCGAGAAAGCCGGTGTATCGAGCGCAAAGCGCAGCACAAAGCCTATTCACCTCGGACCCAATATAGTAGAATTCGCCATCTTCTTCCAACTGGAACGCAGTCGGCTTGTCTCCGAATGTTCGCATAGTCATCTTGATGCTACTGCGTGGAAGCCTGAGCCAGTTAAAACGAAATGCGGAGCTAAGGAACTGAAGAAATTGAAGAAACGACTAAACACGACGCTAATGGACGCCGCCAACGAAACGGCTCACATCGTTTTGGCTTGGCTTGGTTCCTCGCTACAAATCGACATTGTTTCCGTTCTGGTTTCGGAATTTCTCGCTCATCGATGTGCTAGGTGTTTTCAGAACTTTAAACTTTGGTCGTTTCGCGGTCTTACATAAAGACAGCATGCAGCATAAAACGTCTTAGAGCCCCATATTTTTATTAAACAAAACTTCATGTACAACTTAAGAATTATCTTGAAAATTTTCTGATTCTTGGCCGATCGCCTAAGGTGTGTGCTAAGGTTTGTGCAACGGCCACTTTGCACCAGAAGGTTTAAATAAAATTTTATTTAAAACCTCCTTAAACGAGTCGAATACGAATTATTATTATTGAAAGGTAGCGCTACGCTTTCTAGGCCAAACCCAGAGTGTGTATGTGCCATGATATAGAGAAAACAAAAAAATTATTATTATTTTCTTTTTCTTCCCAGTCGTCTGGATATGTCACACTTCATGTTTCTTTTTCCTTGTAAAGTATGTTTTCATTATTGATAAATTTTAAATGCGAAGCACTTCTTCGCGAACTGCAAGCACTTTTGCCGACTATCTATCTATCTATCTATCTATCTATCTATCTATCTATCTATCTATCTATCTATCTATCTATCTATCTATCTATCTATCTATCTATCTATCTATCTATCTATCTATCTATCTATCTATCTATCCGCTTACGTCTGGGTGCTATCATCAAGCTGGCTTAACCGAAATTAGTATGCGAGGGTCAGATGGTTTCACGAATATGACGCGCTGGTCAAGACGTGCATAATGTCACAATACATGACTTCTTTGCGCAAACACGTACACGGACACAAGGAAAAGAGGCACACAACACGGGCGCAAACTCACAACTGGTTTATTTTGAACAACGAACTGTACTTAGTAAGAACAGGTGCCAGATGAAACACAGCCAACAATACCGGTCTTGCAGAACAGCAGTGGTATACCAGGTTCCGTTCAGCTGTGACAGATCTTATGTCGGGCAAACTGGAAGGTGTGTAAACACACGGTTGAGGGAGCATGACTCGGCATTACGTAGTTCAGGACAAACACATCTGGTGGATCACTGCAAGTCTTGTGGGTGCGTACCAATGTTTACAGACACAAAGATTCTGTCAACTCACAAGAGAAAAATTAACAGGGAGTTGATTAAAGCATTCCACATTAGAAACATGGGAGAAAAATGTGTTAGCCAAGCTTCCGTCTCCTTGTCCGATAAAGAATTAGATTTTTTGAAAGGCACGTGCAACAATCCGTCTGCAGATGCGTGAACTCTTCAATTTTTTGTCGTTTGTGGTTCTTATCATGACGTAGCGCTGAATAGCGTTCTTTAGGTTATCTCGTTTGTTCCTGGATCGACCGATGGGGGGGCGTGTGGGCTACGTGAAGATATAAGTACAGTTCGTTGTTCAAAATAAACCAGTTGTGAGTTTGCCTGCCTGCCTGCCTGCCTGCCTGCCTGCCTGCCTGCCTGCCTGCCTGCCTGCCTGCCTGCCTGCCTGCCTGCCTGCCTGCCTGCCTGCCTGCCTGCCTGCCTGCCTGCCTGCCTGCCTGCCTGCCTGCCTGCCTGCCTGCCTGCCTGCCTGCCTGCCTGCCTGCCTGCCTGCCTGCCTGCCTGCCTGCCTGCCTGCCTGCCTGCCTGCCTGCCTGCCTGCCTGCCTGCCTGCCTGCCTGCCTGCCTGCCTGCCTGCCTGCCTGCCTGCCTGCCTGCCTGCCTGCCTGCCTGCCTGCCTGCCTGCCTGCCTGCCTGCCTGCCTGCCTGCCTGCCTGCCTGCCTGCCTGCCTGCCTGTCTGTCTGTCTGTCTGTCTGTCTGTCTGTCTGTCTGTCTGTCCACTCTTAACGGCACCAGGTATTTGAAACGGCTCACCCTATCCGCAGCGCCCACCAATGTTGCTCAAGCTTTAGCATTCATACTTGAGCGATTGTCAATTAAAAAAGCAATTATTGCGCATGTCTGGGGCACCATAACAACACGTATACAATCTCCATGTGCGTCTTTTACTAGAAAAGGCTTACATAAGTAATTTTAAGGACCGTAGCGCTTATCACGCTGCGCTGACCATGAAACGCTTGCACGAAAAGGCGAGTGTTTCCAACGCTTTGCTAACACGAGACGGTGGTGGCACCTACCCGTCGCCTTGCGTTCTACACCTTATCACTTCTGAGACGGGCGCGCACACGCGTCTCAGAGCCACGCACTTCGTTTTCCAAGAAAACTGCCAGATGGCGCTCATGTCTCACGTGTGACGTGACTTGATGCGCTCGTTCGCCTCCACTGCACGCTCGAGGCACTCTAACGCAGCGTCTCCAGAATACCATTCACCAACTTTCTTGCGCAGAACATCAAATAAATGTTTTGTTCACTCTCTCCACACGCAAGACTGTCGTATTTCGACAAAATTTGCAGATTAACATGCAGATACGGTGCCAATTTTTTGTCTATAATTTCAGTATTTCATTGTCACGATGTCATTTTCTGTAGCCTATCTCTCATTTCATAGTAATTCATATTCTCGAAATTTCTTTGACAGTTAATTGCATAAAACGAGTGAATGCGAGCCAGTACGTATCCATAATTAAGAACAGCGCGGAGAAAACATGGACCAGAATTCACGCGCAGTACCTGCGTTGACTGCCAGCTACTTGATTTATTGCAAAATGCATACATTGAAACGGATAACAGGGAGAATGGCAGCATATCGAATCTTCTGGCGGCGCCTGCGTTCAGCGGCACATAATTGTTTAGTCGCGAGAGATGTGTTTTGAAGATATCTACACTGCACTCCTGGTCTGTTAGGTTATATTACGTATTTTAACTACGTATACTTGTTCACCATAATTGAAATCCTATATTCTTCTAACCTAACTGGTTCTTGTTCTATCCCGAGAGTGGGTAGGTGCTAGTAAAGTTTATACAGAGTGGTTTTACTATATTCATAAGTGAGACGTTCGATGGAAAAGAAGAAGATGGTGCATCGAAAAATCGGTGGCGTATGGCTCCTGTTCGTCAAAGATTATTCATCGTTGTTTGTAATACTTACGGCGACTTCGGTTGCCGTCGAGGACACCTACGCAGAACCCGCAGGCAAGTGTATGGAAACCACTTCGCCTTATTTCGTGCTCTGGCGTGACACTGTGTACTCAGTGACAGTATGTGGGCCAATGGGAGGGCACTCATAAAGGCTGAAGTAAAATACACAGCGAGAGGGGAAGGACGTTTTGTGAGGAGGATTATGACTGGGGTATTACTAAATCGTGTGTCTTCACTTTCTTTTTCAGATAAGTTTATCGAAGAGTATTGTGACGGATTCCGGTGGATTCATACGAAACCCGAGTGTATGAAGCGAAGAAGTACATTTACGCTGCTGGGTATGTTTCTTATTTCATTGTGGAAAACAGACGTTCAATGGCAGCTGGCACAAAGAAAATACATTCTGGGTTCTCCATAGCGGGGGTTAAAGTGTAGCGGGAAAAAATGCGTATAGTGTTCTTTATATGTTTGTGTTTACACAATGTTAAAACAATCTTTTGATAAGAACCAACAGGCAATCAAGCAAAGGAGACTATATGGGATGTTATTCGCAGGTTGTGTCTACATAGAAAAACGAGCCCTTATAAATTCCCCTTCTTTTGTTTATTTTCTCGTAGTGCATTTGTGTGGAAGGGCAAATGAAATGCAGCTATTGAATTCCACCTCCTTACGTCATTGTGACCACATTTGTTCCTTTCTGGGGGACGTATACACTCGGGTTTGTTGAAGCCTGGTTGATTGCTCGTTCATATACTTTTCTACCTTCATAGCCTCATAAATCTAGCAACACGCACCCATAGACATAGGCTATGCTTTTAAAGACGATAGTATTTCTTGGGGACCTTCTACGCAAAAATTTTGGTCTGTCTGTCTGTCTGTCTGTACATTTGTCTCTTTGTTCCCTCTTTCCGGCATCGGGTACTTGAAACGGCCGACCCCATCCGCAGCGCCCACCAATGTTGCTCAAGGTTGAGCGTTCATGCTTGTGCAATTGTCAGTTAAAAAGCAATTATTGTGCATGTGTGGAGCACCATAACAACACGCATATATTCTGCATATGCATCTCTTACTATAAAACGCATACAAAGGTAATTTTAAGGACCGCAGCGCTTATCACGCTGCGCTAACCATGAAACGCTTGCACGGAACGGGGAGTGTTTCCAACGCTTTGCTAAGACGAGATGGTGGTGGCACCTACCCGTCGCCTCGCGTTCTACACCTTATCACCTCTGAGACGGGCGTGCATGGCCACACGCTTTGTTTTCCCAAAGAAACTGCCAGATGACGCTCATGCCTCACGTGTGACGTGACTTGATGCGCTCGTTCGCCTCCGCTGCACGCTCGAGGTACACTAACGCAGCGCCCCCGGAATACCATTCACCGATTTTCTTGCGCAGAACATCAAATAAATGTTTTGTTCACTCTCTCCACACGCAAGACTGTCGTCTTTCGACGACATTTGCAGACTGCATGCAGATACGGGGCCATTTTTTTTCATTCGGAACCTTGTCTTACGTCACACAGAGAAATGTTCATTCAGATCTTTATCGTACATCGGTGCTCGAGGTAAATATGCCATTTGCGTATATAATTCCGTATAACAACCACCGCCCTGGAGTATGCACACGCTTCTATGAAAGGTTAAGGAAATGAAACAAACAAAAAAAAAACCTTGGCAGTTCCGTGTACGAATATAACTACTGAGCGAAGCTCCTTAGCAATAGGACCAAATTGATTGATATGTGGGGTTTAACGTCCCAAAACCACCATATGATTATGAGAGACGCCGTAGTGGAGGGCTCCAGAAATTTCGACCACCTGGGGTTCTTAACGTGCACCCAAATTTGAGCACACGGGCCTACAACATTTCCGCCTCCATCGGACAATAGGACCAAAAGTCTTTGCGCCTGATCCATCTGATGGCTTACAAGAAGGCGGTGGGGTAGGGAGCGGGTGGGGAGAGCGTCTGCTTTTCGCGGTGGAAGGAACGCCTGAGCGAGTGAGTGTGCGGCGCAGTGCGAGCCATCTGCCACTACACTTCCGCTTCACCTGAAGCGCGCACCTGTTGTATTACTCGGTGCGCTTGCCCGGCACAGGGAGCACAGGGAGTTTCTTCGGAAATTTGATAGTATGTAGTATGTGCCAATGCAGCCTTATTTGAGCTAGTTTCGGTTCTGGATTAGGCCCATTTCGAAAAAAAAAAAAGCTATACCACAATCGCATAATTAACCTCATTAATACCCGCTCTGCAGAGTACCCGGAGTGGAAGACCAGGTACAAGTCGTGCGGAGACGCTGCGCAGTCGCCGATCCATGTTAGGTACCTGGACAGCCAGTTCCGCCAGTTCAAGCCTATCTATTACACCGGATTCGAGAACCTCTACGGGTACTTCGTCGAGAACGGCGCGCACGGCAGTGAGTGGCTTCTCGGAAGTTGCTTATTCGTTACGACGTTTTACACGTTGAGCATACTTACCTCCCACCATGCGTGTACCCTTCATGCCACACACCATGATACTCATTTTTCACCATCATTTTTCCGGAATCAATATTGGGAGACGAGCGCCACTTGCAACACTTAAACTTCCGCGATATAGCACGATTCGATGCCTGCAAGTGACATTTCTATCGCGCTGTCTTACAACAGTACTGAGATGAGAAATGAGTGAACAGTGGGTGCGTGTTGGAGCCGATGGTTCGACAACTGTACTTGCCTTTTTTCAAGGATGCAACTGTGACAGTGTTGAAGAAATATATACAAAGCCAAAAATGAGCCGACACAGGAAACAACGAAAAAGGCAGGAAAGCGGCTGTCCCTGTGTTCATCACCGCTTCAGCCACTTAATTTCCTGTCATCACCATAAGCGTGTGCAGTGTTCTTCTTTGGGGAAGGGGGGGGGGGGAGGCGCATTGCAGCGCCTACATTTACGAAGTGAAAGTATAGGGCACATTTTGCGCTTCCCTCCCTCTCCCATGCGCGCACCCATACTCATGAACGTTTCCTGTGCTCGTTCTTTTTTGGCTATACACTCTTAAAAAAAAGTTAGTAAAAAGGTAGCAACTGCAAGCAAATAAGTAGTAACGGCAGCAGTTACTACTTTTCTTGGACCGTTAATACCCTTTTGCGACCTGTTTACTACCTACGTTAGTGAACACATATAGTAACTGATATGAAAGAGGTAGTAGCTGCGGCCATTACTACCTTTTTGCTACCCGGCTGTTGACTATATAATCTAAACTAGTATGCGATTCCGATTCTCATAATTTATGAAAGGAATGGTCTCGACGTATTATCATTAAACAAAAAATGACGCGGAAGATATATCCATAGATCAAGGAAATACATTTTGTTATAAATTACGGAACCGAGGATGATATGTAAACGTCATTCTGATATTGTCAAAACGGAGAAGTACAAGTTAACGAACCATAAGCAAGTGCTACACGCTTTGTAATAGACCATTACAACAAGGTTAGTAAAAACAGCACATATTAACAAGACCGGTTAACCAAATAACCAGGTGGTCACAATTCGCCTCGAGCATGGTCACAATTAATCCACTGTGGCATGTCTCTAAATAAATATCATCATTGCTTTGGTGCGTCGAACCCCAAAAACAATTATTACCTTTTAAACACTGATTTATTAGCCGCGTGAAGCATTCAAATGCACTGAGAATGAATTCGGTACCCAGTTTTGGCCACTGTACATAATGCCTTTTTGTGTCCATTTTATAATCAATAAGTATGACACATATTTTTTTATAAGTAAGGCTAATTAAAGGTCCTGTGCTACCCCCCAAACGCACGTAACCAGGTAGTATAATATAGTGCTATAGGTTCAAATTTGTTATAATTTATCCTGAAACACAAGTGCTTCCTTGTGCCAGACATGCCCCTGCAAAGCAGGGGGCTATATATTCCACACGCTTACTTCATACCCTTTGTATGCGTAAAATATAGTGAACTTGTTTGGTCTATGTATTCTTCGCATTCATTGCACACCATGCTTCATTACCTCAAGTTGACTAATAATGAGACATTGACTGACCAACTTTAGCAGTGGAGAAATAATATGCCAAAATGAATGCACAAGGCAGTTTCACTTACTACTTTCTTCTTGAAACCTTTAAAAGTTACTACCCATGGGTGGTAACTGCTAGGGTAGTAGTTACTACATGCTGGTAAAAATAGCAAAGGTAGTAACTGTTACCACCCTCACCGCAACTAACTTCACTTACTACCAGGGTTGTAACAGATGTGACAAATCATTACTACCCCAAAGTTAGCCAGTACTACCACCTTTTTTCTAAGAGTGTATATGTATATCTCCTCAGTGCAGTGAACCAACCAATCTAACTGTGTGTTATACAATCGTCTTATAACAGCAAGCACAGCCCCAGACTACTGTGATCCTAAATGGCTGAGAGCGTCCGGTTGTAGTCTAGTAACATATCTCGAAAGGGGTAAGTATCACCGAAAGTTACCGTTACTGAACACTGCGTCAGGAGCCTATACGAATGAAGGAGGACAAAAGCGTTCTTGCGAGGATTTCACTAAATCGAGGTTTGTTATATCGAGGTTTCACTGTAGGTAGGATTTCCACACAGTGCTCATTGCTGGTTTACATAGAAAGAAGGAAAAAGAAAAGTAAATTCGAAAAGTAAAAATGGATGTAGCATCGAATAGATTGAAAAACGTAACGAAACACATGTTATCCCCTAATTAGCTTAAAAATTAACAGCCACGCTCCTATATCCAACACACACAGTTTCGGCGCGAATAAACTCATAAATTTAATTTTTTAAAGCAACTTTGTCGACGATTTATTTTTTAAAGCCACTTCGTGAACGTGCTCTTGAATCAAGCTCGCCTGCCGATGGTGAGCAAACTTCAGCAGTGTTATGGGAGACCTGCACAGGCTATCGCAAATCACTTCATTAATTGTCGCAGCTTTATGCGAAGACAGTGGATGTGTCTCAAGTCAAGCCTGCGCCGTCTGCGTGTATGTCCGTTATCACACAGACAGCGGGGCAGGTGCCCCACCTCCTCTCCAGGGGCGCTTAAGATGAAGTTGCTATGTGATGATGATTTTTAGAAAATAATAATGGCGCTAAATCACCATGGTGGTGAGGATGCTCGTAATATCGTTAGCCAATCCTAGGTTTCATACCATGGAACTGGGGTTTTTTTTTTTCTCTTTTTGAAGAGTGATCTTGGTACCGGTTCACAAGCATTCTTTTGGGAAATGTTGACGGCCTGGGCTTTTCAGTCTACATCACCCTGACGGCCGGAACGGTGAGCATCTACGGCGGGCCGCTGCCCGTCCGCTACAACCTGTCTCGCGTAATCCTGCGTTTCGGGCGAGCGACGGGACCCGGCTCCGAGCATCGCATCGATGACGAGGAGTTCGTCGCCGAGGTACGCCGACAGAATTATGAACCGCAGACTCTGACATAAACAAAACGAGTGGGTGCTTCGTTTCTTTGCATAAGTGTCAGAAAATATTTTTATTCGTTCACACTTATGAAATCACTGGACGGGCCCGACATTCAAGACGTCAGCGCCTTTTAAGCCGCGGTCAGACCCCATGGTTGGGGTCATTAGGGGACACGTGGATGGGGGGCGTAAACTCCGTGTAGAGGGAACTCGAAAGCGAATATGGTGGCGGTGGTACTTGTATACACCAATCATTGGCGTCGTCAGGGGGTGCAAAAGGGGCCCTTGCATGCTCCCAACCCAAGCTACGCCAGCAGGTTAATAAAACTGGATTAACTAATCGATTTATAGAGTTATCGCACAATCTGTGGGCTCGGGCTTTATTTCGATCCTTTGGGCTTACGTTGATTCAATGAGGTCGGCCGGATGGGTGGTGGAGTGAGGGTTTAGAGTCAATAAGTTCTCCTTGAAGCATGTTTACTTTTTTTTTATTCTCGCTGGTCGATACATGGCACGTGGCTGTCGCTGTAAGGGGAAAAATTTGGTGTGTGCACGTGGCGTTGAGATGGCTACAACAAAACTACTGAAACGCCGATTTCTTGCGTATTTCTGATACTACATTGTCCTAAACGACATTCGCTGTCCATGCCTGTTGTGCTCGAGTGCGCTTTGTCCATAACTGCAGATGCAGCTTCTGTTCTCTTCCAAGAAGCCAACCACAACAAGCTGCCTTTACGATAATTCTGGAGCCGCCATCCTGGCTGTCCTTTTCCGCGTAAGTGTGCATGAGCGCCGCGAACATTCAGCTGATACGCGTATGCTTTTCTAAAGACAATTGCATTTAGCGCATCTTTTCTGCGAGCGCCGATACACCGGCAGCCCCTGGATGGATGGATGGATGGATGGATGGATGGATGGATGGATATGGCTGTACCCTTTAGATCGGGCGGTGGCTAGTGCCACCAAGCCGTAATACTTAATGAACCCAAAACTATATTTGTTTTTTTCTCCTAAAAAAGCGAGTTTGAGGATTCGTACTTTGCAGTGAAGAGTTTAATTTTCACTCGTGCCTTGACTTTAGCCACCAATCAGATAACCTCCTTCTAGTTAAGTCTACCTGCGTTCACCTTCACACTGCCACCGCTGTACAAAATAATCGTTCAATAACATCGTTTTCTTTTATACATGAATCTTTCTCCCTCTAGTTAAGGTAATGAGTGCATTACATGGCAATACCGATCAGTTCAGCTTAAAGTGATTTTTTCTTTGCTATACCATCCCGGCCAGGGCCGTCCCCAGAAATATCTTTCGGGGATGTTTTTGTGCAGAGCGGCCAACTCTGGCGACTGTTTGTTGATGTGAAGGTATCTAAATACTCTAGTTTGACCCGAAAAGTTACAGCAATAAAGAATTTCAGGGGTTTTCCGAACACCCTCTAGTTACGGCCATGGTCCCGGTTTTGGTCCCGCTTTGGAAAACACGCCGCTGTTTGGGAACGATTCTCTACTGCATTCGACACGCCCCCTCCACCCACCTTACGCGTCAGTTGGTCAGGGAAGAGGAATCAAATTCAGCACTGTTAACATTTACTACCCTGCAGGTAGCACACGAACTTCATATGTCGCATACAGTTGGAATTACATCTACGCACTTAGTAAACGTTCTCAATAAGACTGCCCCAGCAATAGCATCGCAATCGGGAAACGGGCTACGTGTTGGTTTTTTATTAGTGAAAATTATACTCTGTTTCATACATTATCTGCAACGCTGTGGAGGCTAACGAGGCTTCTCGCAGTCGACGCGTTCACGACAAAAATAGTTCACTGTTATTACCACCAATAACAGAATTTTCTTGCGTGGTTATGGCGAGAAGTAATCGAAGATATTTTGTGCCTTCCACGCGACGCCACAAATAGGCTCTCTGCTCTGGGTAGGTCACGATTTCGGGATCTTGGACTTTGTCATGTTGCAAGTAAATTTAGCGCAACCTGGAAATCCCAAGAGACACTCACACACTCACACTTTTCGCCTCAAGAAACACACACCACACACAGTGCTCATGAGGCTGTCAGCGTGGGAGGACACCACGGTGTCGTTCGGTACCCGCGTTCTATCATGCTCTCCCCGCTTTCTTCTGTTCGCCAGTTGCACCGAGGGAGACATGTAAATGCGGTGAAGCACAGGCGCTAATCAGATGTCATGCGAGCGACCACAAGCGGAGCTTCCACAGCGTTGCATCTGCATCATGTGCGCAACGCAGTATCTGTGAGTGTACAACTGGCGTCTACATACCAGCTAGAAAAACACTTGATTAATTGTTGTGTGTAGCATTGGAATCGCTACAAGATACACAAACTGAAATCCATGTTTATGGGGAATCATATACAGTTACACTGTTTGTGCTCAGACACCTTTCTTGGAGCGAAGCCAAAGGCAGGGGGAATTGGTGTCGCTGTTTCCCGCTTCTGTGCTGAAAGCTGAAGAACCAGCGCGTGCTTGGGGCTCGCAGGAGGTTCCGGGGAGCGTGAAGGGCCTGGAGCCCCTCGTTCAGAGCACGCGGCAGCTGCGCGGCGCGTGGGGCGCCCGGGTGCCGGTGAAGATGCGGTTGAGCGCGCTCATGGCGCCCAAGGCGCAGCACTACTACGCCTACGCGGGGTCGCTCACTTTCCCGCCCTGCACGAGCAGCATACCCACCATGGTGATGGCCAAGCCCGCCACCATCGGAGAGGACCAGGTGACTTTATCAGCGATACATTTCTGGTTACGAGGACGGACGACGGGCCAGATCGTGTCATTAGATCAATATGCCGTGTATTATAACGACGAATCGAACACTCTTTTCGAGGTTCGATTATAATAGATATATTATTGAGGTATCAATCATATGAACACTCAAGGCGTATTTTTTTGTTGTTGCCGTTGCCGTGATGTTCCGTATATAATCCGAACTGATCACATCGCACCGCACGTCGCTTGGACTATGTGAGAATGGAAGTATGCGAGGGCAGCGGGTGATATCGGCTCAAGCGGAGGTTAAAGGCGCAAGCCTTCAATAGAGGCAATGGAAGATGTGCGAAGGAAGATGCGAGTGGCGGAAACATTTTGATTTAGCCTATATTATCAGCCTATTGATGCGCTGGCTGGATACCGCGTAGGGTGACCGGTATCTCATGGCTCTCAGCGAATCTTAACGCCCAGCCTTTCGGCGGCTTTGGTGCAGCCCGGTCTGAGCTGGACACTGTGAACTCCCGTCGCTGTACGTATTCGAAGGGTGGCTGCAGGTAATACCACACGTATCTACATACATGGTGTGGACGAAATCTGCTCTGGGTGCTCCGCGTAGAGTGTATTCGGGAATACCGGGGTCAATAAGAGCGAAGTGAGCTGGTGATAAAAAGGTTGAAGTTGACGCCAGGTTGATGTTGATGTTCGAGTTTAGTGGGAAATTCATGTGGGGGTGCAGGTTGATTGATACCAAATCTTCCTATAGTGGGAGGGATGATTCATTGTATTCAACCATGCGTTTGCGTGTGCTGCCTGAGTCTGTGGTTGGCCCTGCTCGGTCGAAGTCCGCTCGAGCAGTGTTATGGGCCACTTCAATCACAGGGTTGCCTGCACGAGCAGGTACGCAGTGGGTTTGAATTGATCTATTGGGAATTCAGAATTCTGACAGCACGCATTTGAACCCTGCCTCGCACGAAATTCCGGATTGCTGCGCTGGAGTCACCAAAGATTATAGTTTGGTAGTGGTTGAGGAGATTGCCAAGGCCATTACGCCTTCATCTGTCTATAGGGTGGAGAGAGCGTTAGTCGAGCCTGAAACTATTTGGTGGAGTGGGTTGAGAACAGGGCTCAAGACAAAGGCTCGGTGAGTGGCATATTGTTTGTGTGGTATTGTGCTTGTGAAGCACCATGGCTCTGGCCGTCCGCCCAGCTGGGTGGTAGCCTGGACGGACAATTTTGAGGAGGTGACAAATTGTTAGTTGGGAACGAATTTCTCTCGGGGTGAAGTGCGTGGGTGTGGGAGCTTGAACGATTGAGGCCCAGAGATGAAAGAACGCGCTTCCCCGTAGCTGTGGATCATAGACGCTCGAGTCTACCTGTACGACGGGCCTCGACGAGCTCGCCTAAAGTGTTGTGAACTTCCATACGTAGTAGACCGCTGACGAACGTGTGCCTGAGGAGATTAAGAACTGTTTTGTAGACTTGCCTGATTAGTGCATTGATTTGTTCTTCCTCTTCTTCTAAAAGAAACAGATATGCAGGTACGCCACTGGACGTACTACTATAAAAGATTGAATAAGGCGGCGGAGGTCACGATCCCGCATGCCTTGTTGGCGATTCGCAATCCGTCGTATCATTTTTATTAGCAATGGCTACACGCCAGCACGCGCGGAGCTGCTCGCCACCAGCCGTATACAGGGACGTCGTCCAGTAGAAGGCTCCGGAAACTTTCAACCAATATGGCGTTCTTCAACGTCTGCAGACAACGCACAGTACATGGGGATCCCTAACATTTCGCTCTCATTAAAACGCGACCACCATGGCTTGGATCGAACTCCCGACCTTTGGGTCGAGCACCGTATACCGCTGCATGCACCGTATGCATGCAGTGTCGGACTGATCCCTTCCTCAATTATCAATGTTATCGTTATTGAAGAAACGTTGCATTGAATGTAACTTACATGTATACATGGTTTCTAGTGCAACGTCTCTCTCCGTCCTTTTTTTTTATAGCAAAGTTGTTCACAGTTCGCACCAGATAAATGCCCACCTCATCCCATGAATTGCTTCGCGCCGCGTGCATGCAGATTGACGCTCTTCGACGGAACATGTTCGTGTCCCTCAACTACTGCGTCTACCACATGGCCGGCCAGTTGAGGCCCACCTTCGACGCACAGAACCGCGACCTGTACCGCTCGTTCAAGTACTTCAGCAGCCGCAGCGGCGCCGGTGCACCACCGACGGCAGTGTTGCTGACGCTGCTACTGCTGGGCCTAACCTTTAGGGCTGCAGCGCCATTAACCGAAACGTGGATTCTGTGCCGAGACTGAGTCCATGTTTTATCACCGCCGTGTGAAGCGTGACACAATTCTAGACAAGTGTCTAGACTGCGTTTGCACGGGCCCATCCACGTGACTTCTATCTTAATGTAATTGCATTAAATATTTGCCTCCATACGCGATGTTAAATATTGTCTTCGCTCTCTTTTAGACCGTGATTTCAATGAATGATGGCTATATATGATTGGTTCAAAAAACTTGAATGACGGAATTTCCCTGCACGCGCGGCATTCGAGCATCCGCTGTATAAATAATAATAATAATAATAATAATAATAATAATAATAATAATAATAATAATAATAATAATAATAATAATAATAATAATAATAATAATAATAATAATAATAAATTCCGACCATATGGGCTTCGTTAACGGGAACTAATTCTAAGCGCACAGGTCTCTATAGCATTTCTCCTGCATAGGAACAACGAATTGGTTACCTCAGCGGAAGCGATTATGACGAAACTAATAGATCCAGTCAAGAGTTGTTCCTTTAGATTGGTTCATGACCAGCACACACATAGCTTCATCTCCTTCATCTCGAGGCGAAGAGCTTTGATTTGATTGATATGTGGGGTTTAACGCCCACAAAACACCATATGATTACGAGAGACGCCGTAGTGGAGGACTCCGGAAATTTCGACCACCTGGGGTTCTTTAACGTGCACACTGAGCTAGCACACGGGCCTACAGCGTTTCCGCCTCCATCGGAAATGCAGCCGCCGCAGCCGGGATTCGATCCCGCGATCGGCGGGTCAGCAGTTGAGTACCTTAGCCACGAGACCATTACTACCAAAAGCATATCAAAAACAACTTTGACCACGCGAAGAAACACTCGACACAATCGCGATTAAATCTTCATTTGTATACAGGGTCGCTACAAGACAACAAGAAACGCTTAAAATAAAATAAAAACGAGATAGAGACAAGGAGCGCGCAGTGATCGTCAACAGAAACGGGTCGTCGATTATTTGGGCTCCGCGGGCGTCTTGTCGATGTCGGAGCTTTCCGTTAGCTGGCGCTGCTTCTTGCGCATGTTCCAGTGCAGGCACTCGGCGAGGCTGTCGAACCAGTCGGATATCTGGTCTTGGTCGCAGATCGAAGGCACCGGGTAAATTGACGTGGTCACCTTGAGGCTGCGGGAAAGAGCGCGATGTGATTAGTTTTATCTCCATTCGGGACGCGGGAGACGAGCGGGACTATTGCTTCTCTTTCAAGCAATACCGGCCGATCACTTACTTCCGATTTTAAGAACATCGGGAAAAATGCTTGTCAGAATGAAAGACCCTATCTTGTGGTATGCACATAGATTGGGCATAGGAGCACATGGACGTGTCACGGACAAAGTTCACAGTTTACATCATAAGTAAAAAGACATGCCTGTCGCCAAACGCCAGTATAGCAGACAGTCCTGGAGCGGGGAAGGACTAACATGTATACGTCGTACATGTTGCGATTTCGGGTAGCTCGACTGCTTTCAGAGGTGCTGTACCTACAGTACAAGTATAAGCCAACAAAGGTGGACCGCAAGGACAGCGTAGGAGGCGACGTTCGCTTGGCACCAACGTAAATGAACCCACCTTTCTCCATGTTGGAGCTCCTGACGAAGGCGACCGTCGAAAGAGGCCCACACAGAACTGCGGGCCTCGGGCGAAACCATTATCTGCGCGGGAAAAGGAGCATGAAATGTATTAAGGCGATAGCCTTAGACGGCTCGGCAAACGCGGGAAGTGACCGTGGGCGTATACACGATTGGTGCATGAAACCATGATGTGACGACTGCAGTCCATGACGTCGCAAGTCACCGAGACCCGTGACGTCACCTTAATGTCACAATAACGTCACATGACTTGCCGTCGTCACACGCTATCATCGCTTGGTCACAGGAGGGCTGATCCCGGAGACACTGCATAACTACGCGATATGAACCACATTTATGGATGAAGATCTTACGTTAATTGTTTACTTATATTCGGCTGAATTCGCAGGAATGTGCCTACCAGCTATGAAAGACGCGGCTTCATCATCATCATCATCGTCGTCGTCGTCATCATTCCACTACAATCAAGGAGGAAGAAAAAATAAAGTTTTTCCTTCCTCTATGACTACTATCAACATTAGTCATAAAGTCCTTCGCAGTCACAAATGTCCGAATATTAAGCTGCTCCGTGTACAATGTCCACACTTTCCATGCTGGCACAAACTGTCATATTTGCTATACCTCCGGGGAGCGCGAGTTATCTGACGAGCCTGGTTATCGTGACACCAGGTGTTGTTATCGCCAAGTGTGTATGGACGCACCTTGAGCTCCACGCCGGCCGGCACGACGATGGAGCGGAACGAGAGGGAGTGCGGGCAGATGGGCGTCACCATGATGGCAGGCACGCTGGGGTGGATCATCGATGCACCCGCCGCCACCGCGTACGCCGTGGAACCCGTGGGAGTGGACACAATCAGACCTACGATAGTATGCGATCAATCAATCAATCAATCAATCAATCAATCAATCAATCAATCAATCAATCAATCAATCAATCAATGACAATAATCGCATACATGAGTGATATATAGGGGCGTAATAAGGAAGCACGAGCTGAGGAGTAAAGTTCCCAGAAGTCAATTCCGAGAGAGAGAGAGACATATATCACATTTATTTATACATTCGGAGTTTAGGAAGTCCCCGGCCTCGCAGGGCGCGGATGTTCCCTATCTTAAGATTACGGCTATTAGAGTCCGATAATCTCAGAGCCTAGACGTCGAAGGTGTTGTGCTCCGACTAGGCGACAGTTACTCGGGTGCCTCCGCACCCGTTAGACGGGTCGTCGGCTCTTTTTCTATGTTGCTTCGCCAAAGCCCCTTGAAGCCGCTGGATTCAACCTGCTCTGGAATTATTAAATTTTATTTGCACTCGTAGATGCACTGACATATACGTAACGAAAAGTCGGAACCCCTCCCTCGTCGACGGAATTGGTTGATCGATATGTGAGGGCGTCGCTTTGTAATCATAAGGGACGTTAAACCCCACAGCGTCGCTTCGTAATCATATGGTGGTTTTGGGACGTTAACCGATCAACCGATTCCGAAAACGAGGGAGGGGTTCCGACCTTCCCTTACGTATATGTCAGTGTGTCTACGAGTGTAAATAAAATGTAATCATTCCAGAGTAGGTTGAATCCACCGCCCCATTGGTTATAAAAATGGTGAGCGATGTCACGTGGTGTGGCTGCCAACGTACTCACCGTCTCCCTGGACAGTGGTTATCAGTTTGCCGTCCAGGTAGAGGTCAATGTTGGACAGGTAGGGCGAAGGACCTCTGTCGACGACAACCTCGTTGAGAACCTGCGCATGCGCAATCGAATTCATGCTGACGGCTTGATACAAGCGCACCGATAAAGCCTACGCACGAAGGTATATGCATTTTGCTGTGACGTCACACAAAAACGAACCATGCCTGAAAGTTGGCTTCATGGCCCACAGAAAAATATAAATAAGGCATTCTCAACTTCTTCGCGCCAAAAACATGATATACTTAGGTGACACGCTGTAGTGGGTACTCCAAATTAATCTTTACCGCGTGGCGTCCTTTGACAGAGTTAGCTTACTCAATCAAAGCCTAAGCACACGGCTTTGACATGCGCCGACTCGTATTGAACTCCCGTTCGCGCTATACTCGCATTAGACATTTTACGGCGCGTGGTAATGTGACTGCGCCTACAGCTCAGAAACATACTTGCTGATGACAAGGCCCGGATAGTTTTCTCTAAAAGAGAAGAAGAAGCGTTTCATTGTTAGAAGACAAATGAAGCCCGAAAATCTCATGAGGACACGATCTACCAAACGAAGTAATCAGTAATGCCACCCGAGTGAACAATAAAAACAGCACCAGTGGAAGTTTCATAGGAGTTCGACAGTAGTTTTGCTACACGGCATGTAAATCGAGAAATTTTGTGCGAATGTAGGCCCGTATTCCCACACCCTTACCCTTATTGTGTTTTCCTTATCAGTGTTCTGCTTTTAGTGCGCTTAATAAATAAGGTGTGCCGCTAATGATGAGCCGATATTCTAGGGGCGAAGCTTCATATGTGCGTCCCCAGTTGCCGTAGTGCGTAACCTGTGGAACATACCCGCATACAAGTGGCACATACCCACCCTCGGGCACATATCCGCATGTCCACATGTTACGAAAACGGTAGCAGGGCGTGACCACGCCATCGATGTTAACAAAGCGCTGACAGCAGAAATGTGGCACATACTCTCGTTTAGTCCTTGAATTGTCCGCTGGATGCCAGTACTTGTATATGATGATTATATGATAAAATAGAGCGAGATGGCGATACTTGAAGTAATCACTAGATGGACGGACGGACGCACGGACGTACATACAGACTGACAGACGCACGCACAGAAGGACGCACGAACGGGCGGAAGCTTCGTCCCAGTCATCATCATCCATTCCGTGGATATGCTGTGATTTTTTTTTTCCCTTCTTACCGTGTTTGTTTTCTTATCACGCACGCAGAGCACCCGGAAACTTAGGAAAAATGTGGGGTAACGTTAAGGCTGGTTTGTGAACACAAGCCTGAGTCTACGATAGCTGAAACTACTCGTTCAACGGCGTCCGACACTGCGCTGCAATTTAAGCGTCAAAATGAGTGAATGAATGAAATACAATATACTTACTAGGCACGATGAGTTGCAGTTAAGATTATTGTCGTTGGAATCGCTCTCGCTGCGGTATATGCTACATTTTAGTCTGCTCCGTAGGGTGAGCGCCGCGTGCCCTGTACGATATAAGAAAGAGGAAAAAACAAACAAACAAAAATAACACGAATATGAGATATTCACAATGCAAAATGCAAGAACACAAACGTGATGCAGCATGCTACACTTAGCACACTTGACAACATTGCGATGACCGAAAAAAATTTATAGAAACAGTGTATCATTCAACGCAATAAGAGAATTATGGATGTGATCTAATACAGCAAATGAAAAAAAAAATCCTTGTAATGTATCTTTCTTTTTCAAAATTTTGCGACTGCACTATCATATAGCTATTTCCGAATCGATTTGCGAAGAGCGCGCGGAGTTAAGCGCCGACGCAAGCATCAACGTTTTGTTCAAATGCGTCCAGGCACATACAGGATCTCTCAATAATGACTTGCGAGATTAGCCGGCGGCGCGCCGCCGGCTAATCTCGGAGGACGCGGTTCAATGGATCTCTTGTGTGGGAGGCTCCACCGACGCACTGCGCGCAGAGCCAGCTTTGCAGCCGCTGCGCCAGTTGTCACGTGATCATAGAGGGCGGTGGCGAGCTTTGGGCTGGGCGGAGCCTAAACGCCGTGACGTCACTACAAGCGCCTCAGTATGCCGACGGCGCCTACCTCTGTTTAGAAACATGGAATGGGTCTGTATAGGTATAATACCTTCGAGCACGTTGTTGACCTTGTCCTGGAAGTTGTCAAAGTCAAACGGTGTGAGGAAGCCCAGAGAGCCCATGTGGAAGGCCATCACGGGTGGCACACTTTGCTGTCAACGACACAAAAAAGGTATACACAGTTAAAACTCACACCTTTATGGGTCAGGGGAGTTGAGCCCTACCCATAAATGAACGCTTAAGAATCAGTTTCATTGATAACCACATAATGCCTCATGTTTTTTCTTCTTATATGATAATACGGTGCTAACAAACAATTTCTTTTTGATTCTTTCATAAAAAAAATTGGCCCGAATCTACATGTTACACTGTAAATGTCATCGAAAGACGATATTCTTGCGTCTGGAGAGAGTAAACAAAACGTTTATTCGATGTTCTGCGCAAGAAAATCGGTGAATGAAATTCTGAAGGCGCTGCGTTAGAGTGCCTCGAGCGTGTAGCAGAGGCGAACAAGCGCATTTAGGCGAGCGCCATCTGGCAGTTATCTTCGAAAACGAAGGCGTGCGCGACCGCGGAGAAAGATGCGCACCACTCTCGAAGGTGATAAGGTGTAGAATGCAAAGCGACGGGCAGGTGCCACCACCGTGTCGTCGTAGCAAAACGTTGAAAACAACTTCTTGAGCATCGCGTTGCACTGTCAGCGCAGCGCGATAAACGCTACAGTCCTTAGAGTTACTTGTGTGTGCCTCATCTAGTATAAAGGCAGACATACAAAACATAGACGCATCGCGTTGCACTGTCAGCGCAGCGCGATAAACGCTACAGTCCTTAGAGTTACTTGTGTGTGCCTCATCTAGTATAAAGGCAGACATACAAAACATAGACGTGTTGTTATGGCGCCTCAGATACCCACAATATTTGCTTTCTTTAATTGAAAAGCGCACAACTATGATCGCTAAACCTTGAGCAATATTGGAGGGCACTGCGGATGGGGTTGACCGTTTGGTGCCGTTTGAGGTATCGTTAGGGCAGACAAACAGACAAATGTACAGACAGACAGACAGACCAAAAATTTTCCGTTGAAGGTCCCCAAGAAAGACTATCGTCTTTAAAAAGCTATCGTAATGTAGCGCGGTCCTACAGAAAGAGTTTGCGGTCAAAGACCGCACTGTCTAAATCTGTCGACGTGAAGCCCGCATGATCTCGTTTCGTTCTAGCAACGGCACCCGGATGTCTCGTTTCGGTGCCCCGATCACAGAGCTGGCTATTGGCTCGGTGTCACTTGGAGGTCACCAATCAGGGAAGGTAAACACGTTTCATGCTCCAAAAAGCCATCCACGTAACAAACATGTTTGTTATACTTCACCGTTGCGAGGCACCAAAGCGGCAAGCAGAGTATAAATGCCTAATTAAACCGAGAGGTACTCGTCATCCGGGAAACGCGCACGCACAATCGATACAATTAGAATTTCAACAGACCCAATTTCTTTAGCGTAACGAGTGGGCTGTCATTGACAAGTTACGCACGTAATCGAAAGTTTCCCTGAACGTACGTGCCTACCTCAAGCGAGCCTTTCGAACGCCTTTAGCGCGGTGACATTTCTCTAAAGGATCACATTTTCAGGCAATCTGCGACGTGCACGGAACTATATATATACTCAGTAAAGAGAAGACGTGCCCGTATCCACGTCACGCACTTAGTTCGAACTAAGATCATTTGCTGCATGCATCACATCGTACGAATATCTTGCTGCTGTAGTCTTCCACTCTCTCTATATAGAGACAAGTCCTTACGTACATCAGTTTTTTTTCTTTAGGCACAGTATATAAGAACAAGGACGAGTAGACGTCGCGTCCTGGTTCGGCCATCTTTGCCAGAAAGGCGAACCCACCTGAAACAGCGAGGACGCGTAGAGCAGCGTGCCGTCTCCACCGAGACAGATGATGAAGTCGATGCGGTCTGTGAGCTCATCTCTACCTGACGAAGAAGAGGAAAAAAAAATTGTTGGTCCGTTATTACGCACGTATGGTACTCCGCCTTTCTTCTTTTCTGGTCGATTGCAAGTGTCAAACATTAGAGGACAAATTTCGCAGCTCTGCTCTTTTTTTTTTTTGGTTCATAATGAAACAAGCACCAAAAAGCACAAACACTCAGAAAGGACACTGCAGGACGAACGCTTTCTAGCAATTAAAAACTTTTATTTCGAAACGAACACTGATATATTCAAAACACGCATGTACGTCATCTCAAACCACCCATGTTATCATCAACAACGTGAGATACCGAAAAAACCACTCCTATAATCGATGGCACAAAACCGAAAAAAAAAGTGTTAAGCCACCAAAAAACTACAAAAACAAAACGTACAAAATATGTAATGGCTTATGTTGCGTCCAAAGAAGAAAATTCGGCATCTGTTAGTAGAACAGACACTTTACTAATGCACTAGTCACCTACTTTCTTAATTCGATACGCTTCCATTATTTCTCTCGTCGTCCGCTTCGTGTGCCTGTCAATTGCTCGTGCATCTGAAAATTTCCGTTGTCAAATGCACTCCTTGCAGTGCATCGCTAATTGCGAGTATGTCCCCCCCCCCCCCCCCCTTTGGTGAAGAAAAAAAGTGGCATTACCTTTGGACGACTGCAATAAGCGGCTAATGCTATCTGTGCCTATCCAATGGTATACCTATCTGTGGCTATCGCGAGGCAGCTCACTCAATTATACATCACTGACCTTCTCAGTCTACTGCGTTGTTTTTACACCAAGCTACAGCGTCATGTGATGACGTAACGAAGATCAGCCTCTGTTACGTCATTAGAACGTCACGTGGTGTCGTCACAACAAGCCGTTCCCTCTCCACACGCCTCTCGCTCGCAAAATATCCCGTGCATTGTCACACGACCTCCTTCCCTTTGCACACTGAGAAAGTGCGCGTCTTTCTATTCATGCTCTCGCCGCGAACGTCAAAATAATTTAATGAGTGCCACATGAAAGGAAAGAAACGTTTTCGCCGGTGCCCTTATTGAAATGCAGCCAATCCTTTACTTACAACGTACGAATGAATGTTATAGTCCCCAACCACTTAACCACAGCCCACCGGTCCGTGAACGCTGTAAAGAAGTCGTGCTAGTTAGTTTTAGATTGAAATGCAAATACTATCTCACGGCTAATGTAGAACATAATAGGTATATTGGGAAATACGTCTGTCCCGGTTAAAACTATATTTTGTTGAATAATTTAGGTTCGCAACTACAGAAAACGCTCATTGTGCTTGCAACACCAGTAAAAAAAAAAAGCATGACCACGCCTAATAGGGTCATCGCTCTACTTTCCTTTGGGGCTCTGCTGATCGCGTTGCTTGATTGAAGACAAATAAGTGCTGCGCGAGGACCGCCTCATTCTCATCGGCATAAAGGATTTCACTGGCGAAACAGCGGGAAATAGTTTCGCGGTGCGTGCTAACATCGAGCCTCTTTGATGATTGATATGTGGGGTTTAACGTCCCAAAACCACTGATGATTATGAGAGACGCCGTAGTGGAGGGCTCCGGATATTTTGACCACCTGGGGGTCTTTAACGTGCACCCAAATCTGAGTACATGGGCCTACAACATTTCTGCCTCCATCGGAAATGCAGCCGCCGCAGCCGGGATTTGAACCCACGACCTGCGGGCCAGCAGCCGAGTACCTTAGCCACTAGACCACCGTGGCGGGGCCATCGAGCCTCTTTAGCGAATCATATCAGATTTACTTCAAGTTGAATAACCTGTCCAGCGAGTTCAAGGTTTAAGAAGGCAACTGCTCATGCGGAGCAGACCTCACCGAAAGCCTGCGCAAGCACTGGTGCGTTGCGCTGCTAAGGGCAAGACCCTAACAGTTATCACTGCGCTGCCACTCGTTCTGCAGTTTTCGTGCATACCATTGAGTACCGCTGTCCCATCAAAAGCTCAATACACATGCCGTTCAGTTGATTGCAAAACGAAGCTATGCCCATGGGTCCGTGTATCTCGATATATAGCAAGTCTTATACAGGGTGTCCCACATAACTTGAGCCAAGAATTCGAAAATGAAGACACTTCAGTGGCGAATTAAACCAAACGCGGGCTACTCGCACTAGCCTTTAAGGTACTCGGGCTATTTTTCATTTCTCTCCATGCTATTTAATTAATAATTCTCAATTACCTATTTTTTAAATTATGGGCTGTAAACCGAAAATGTGAACATGGAGTTGTAGAGCCCTTTCAGAAACCACCGTCTAAATGGTTTCCCGTGCGATACGCCTAGCGCTCTTATTTTTTCCACGTTGTAAACTTTTTCCACAAATGCGGCGAGGGTGCTGCTGCTCATTCTCGCCGTGAATCACTGACGATTTAACTCTCCTCCTACGGAGCGCAAAAAGTAACACCAATGAAACCCGGTCACTGGGAATGTGAGTTGAGCAAAATTGTTGAACGATTTAGAGTACTTCGTTCTCTACTGCGGGGGAGCATTAGGCCGTCCCACGTAACCTTCAAGTGCGATTAGAATAAGTGGTTAACAATTGAGAGTACTCGGTACTCTACTATGAGAGAGTATAAAGCTGTTCTGTGGACCTCACACTTTTATGAGGCCGGGTCGACAAAAATTAGCCTACACGAGGCCCTATAAGGCAGAAGACTTGTGTTTAGAAGGTGTAGCTAACGGTTTAGAGTACCAGGTACTCTACTGTGGGAAAGTTCAAAGCCGTCCCAGCAGGAGTGTGTTTAGAAAAGTGGTTAACAATTTAGAGTACACGTTACTCTACACGAGGCCCTCTAAGGTAGGAGGCTTGTGTTTAGAAAGTGTACGTAACGGTTTAGAGCACCAGGTACTCTACTGTGGGAAAGTTCAAAGCCGTCCCAGCAATGTGGTTGACGATTTAGAGTACTCGGTACTCTACTATGGGAGAGCCGAAAGCCGTCCCGTGGGCCTTACGTCATGTCAGGGGGGGGGGGGGGGGTTAGAAAAAGGGGGTAACGATTTAGAGCACAAAGTACTCTACTATGGGAGAGCACAGAGCCGTCACGCGTGCGCCACTTGATTAGCAGCGTTATGTCAAGAGCCTCAGGTACGAACGGGGTCTGTGTATTGGAACACATGAGAAATATTGCACGTCGTTTTGCCATCTCGCACAACCTCCGTGTATGCTCTGGGAACCTATGGTAATTTCCCGCGCGTTTTCCAAAGGTTTCAAAGAGCACGGAATCGAACAAACAATTAATGTTCGGGAAGTGCACGGTGCCGATGTCTATAATCTTTATACATAATATTTTTCTCTGTGGAACCCCAAACTTATTCTTTTCTTTGCTTTATTTTGTTTATATCGTTGTAGAACGTTTAGTTGAATTGTCTGCTATAAACAATCCGCGCAGTTTCCTTTTAGGCATACTTCTTTCGAAGGGTCCTTAAACCACTCACAGGTCGAAAGTTGAGTTGTGGTGATGCAGTTGTGCACGAGCCTACAATGGACACGTAGTTGCAAGAATTTCCCCCGTGAGACGTTCAAATACTCGGCAGACTTTACTCGGCAGGTATGCGCCAATAAAAGCGGACGTGTGCTAAGCAGCTCCTATCATATATATAGCCCAGCCATGCGTAGTAAAGGAAGAGGGTGGGAAAGGTTGGTTAGGATGAGGAAGTGTGCCGTGAGCATGAGGAGGAGAGAAAGAAGGAGGGGAGGTGGTAAAACGATTTGGCGCGGGTGTATGCTCCAAGCAGCGACTAGCGTAGCATAGCCCTGCACAGTATAGACAAATTCCACCGGACTTACGTCACGAAAATGCGGTGGCGCTGTCTTGGTAGGCAAAAAGACGCTCTGCCTACCACAGTTTCTGATAGGTTTTCAATGCTGCTTGTGGTTTTATCAGTCAAGCAACGAGAAAAAAAATGGCAGCATATCCACGGAGTGAATGATGGAGAGTGGGGCGAAGCATCCGTCCGTCCATTCGTTATTGCTTCCGTCCATCCATGCGTGCGTCTGTGTGGCCGCCCGTGCGTCCATCCGCCCGTCCGTACGTGCGTCTGTTCGTGCGTCCGCACGTTCATCTGTGCGTCCGTCCCTGCTTTCGTCCATGCATCCGCTCCTGCTTCCGTCCATGCGTCCGTCCGTCCGTCCGTGCAGCCTTCCGTGCGTCCGTCCATGCATCTGTCTGTGTGTCCATTCGTCCACCTATTCAACACTCCAAGTACCAGCATCTCGCATCTTTTCATCATATATTCCTCATATAGAAGCACCGCCATCCAGCGGACATTCCAAGGACTGAACGAGGGAAGGCACACGCACACTTTCTTACGGCATGCCCGTCGAGCCTAGTTCCCACATTTAACCACCTCGAGTTCATGGTTATATACTAGTTCATTGTATTCATTGCCCTGCGGCCCAACGCTCACTAAACCTTTCTAAAACTTGGAGGTTACACCCAGCGAGTATAACGTAGCAACCCTTTTTTTGTCTTCTGTGCATTGTTGAACAATAAAAAATTCGCAGCGTGCGCGTTAACTAAAAGCCAAATTCTCTTGTCTCTCATTCCCCTTTAGCAGCCATTGGCTTGTACATTGAGCACTATCATTGTTCAACAACGCACAGAAGAAATCTCTCACCGGCACCACCTTGGAGGTCAAAATGTAATACTGGTTACACACTACTACTACGACTACGAGGGACGAACGGGTGCCGCAATGAAAACCTTCCCCCCCCCCCCCCCAAATAAAAACGGTATGCCGACGAACTGCGTTGCGGTTAGATGCGAGTCGCGCCTCATAACTTAGTTTTGTTTGTTGGCGCACATCGCAGCCCTGAGCGCTTATGGCGGAAGTTACGCGCGGACGTCGCTATAATTTTACTCATGATGTCGACATCAGCCTACCTGTGTTTACAAACATGGAATGGGTGTATAATGTAGCAAGGGGCGGGAAAGCGACGGTTAGAAAGGGAGAAAGAAAAATGGTAAAGCATAGCATAGCCACTTGTAGTGCAGTATAGCAAGGTGGCGGTAAAATGTAGTGAGGGTGAGGAAGAAAAATGGAGGATAGGAGGATGAAGCACAGCGTAGCCGTGAATACTGCAGTATTGCAACGAGTGGAAATGGTAGACGAGGAAGGAGAGGAGGCAAAAGGGGAGGGAATTAAGAGGTTAAACGAAACGTAGTCTACCATGCTATATATATGCACATTAAGAGATAGGAAAGAAAAGTGAGGGTGATGAGGAGGAAATGGAGGAGACGAGCGTGAAGCACAGCATAGCCACGTATAGTATAGTATTGCAAAAGGTGGAAATGGTAGACGAGGAATAAGAGAAGGCGAATGGAGAGGAAAGAGGCCATACCGTAACGTAGTCTTGTAAGGTGTATATATATATATATATATATATATATATATATATATATATATATATATATATATATTACTTCAAGGGGGAGATAAGGAAAGTGAGTGAGGAGGGAGAAAAATGAGGAGAGGAAAGTGAAGCACAGCATAGTATTGCGATGGTTGGAAATTGTGGACGAGGAAGGAGAGAAGGCAAAGGGGGAGGGACGAGGTTAGAGCTTAACGTATTCTAGTATGGTATTTATATATATAGTACATTAAGCGGTAGGAAAGAAAAGTGAGGCTGAGGAGGAAGAAAAGGAGGACGCGAGGATGAAGCACAGCATAACCATGAATAGTATAGTATTGCAACGGGTGGAAAAAAATGGTAGACCAGGAAGGCGAAAAGACAAAGGGGAGGAAAGAGGTTAAAGCATAACGTAGTCTTGTATGGTATATATATAGTACAGCAAGGGGTAAGAAAGGCAAGTGAGGGTGAGAAAGAGGAAAAGGAGCCCGGCAACACTACCAGCTGCGCTGTTTCCTCAGTCATCGCACGGCCAATGCGTAGCTGCCTCAATAAATTTTCAAAATGGCGCCGTAATATGTGCTTGGTGTTCGAAATGCGGCCCTCGCTCGTGTTGGCTACTGATGTAAGCTCATGACAGGTTTCGCTGTAAATTGAATGAGTCAGATAGGGCGCAGCATATAGAATGTATACCAGTGAGAAATATGGCTTTCAGCTTCAAAACGACGGCCTGCTTGTGTAGAGTAATTCACGCGATTCTTCTTTTTTGCTCAGCGTTGCGTTTTCGCGTATACAGCGATGGGTTTTAATTTACACAATGAATTCGATGTTATCCTTTCGCTTTTCTACAGGCCATAGAGCTGTATAGCCTTAGCCCAAGACGAAAAGAACGAAAGTAATGAATCAGAACGAGCTCCCCTTATGAGGAGATAGAGCTTTCTGTATACCCTATAACTCGAATAATCTTTTCTGGCAAGCTCCCAATTCCCCTTCAGAACCACTTCATTAAGCACATAATAATCCACCTGTCAAGCCACCTGCTGAATCACCTGCTAAGGCAACTAATACAGTTGATTACAATTGTTACGCCACTATTCCTACATTACTTGACAGGCAATACCTTCTGTGAAGGTGCAGAGCTTGTCCTTGAGGTCGAGGAAAGCCTTGTTGTTCTTCAAGAAGGGGTCTTCCAAGATGGCGTCCTCAACGAAAACAACCATGTTCTTGACCTGCCATGACGGACATCAGAAGCAACATGTAATAGGAGTGAATCTCGAGCGCCGTTTCGCGTAAGCTGCTTTCCTAGAGATAGACAACGAACCGGGGCAAATGTAAGGCAGTCAGCAACGGACGAGAGTGTTTTGAACGAAACTGTAGCAGTGTTTAATTACTGTTGACGATTGAATTGAAATTAATTTTTCGGTGGCGGATATGTACTGAATCGTAAACTTTCAAAGTTGATGTGTTCGCTAGGAAGCGCACATCGCTACCCGAGGGTTGTCTTTCTTTTATGTAGTTGCAAATTTCACGAATGCGCGTCAGAACTGAAGCGTAAAACATTTGGACAACACAATAACTGAGATTTGACACGCCGTGTATTTGCGGGTGGGGGGTGGGACACACTAGCTAAGAACGTAACTTCAGCCAAATAAAAAAAGAACCTACCACGGAAAAGGAGACAACAGCATGACACAGGTGCCCATATTTCTTGATTAAGCACCAACCCACCCAACAAGCATGTCCTTACACATGCGTGATCAGAAAAAAATGCGTGTCAAGACTTACCCAGATGAGCCACTGGACGAGCTCGTTGAAGGGCTTGACGACGTTGGCGTCCATGGTCTTCTTGATGACGAGCACAGACAGCGGTGGTTTGTGCCACGTCAGCCGCTGGCCCGCGGGGTCCTGTATGGTCCTGGACAACAAAGAATAAACTTTAATGAAGCAAAGAAGCACGCGGACTACCGCGGGCGGGGGCCCATCTTCCAGAGTCCTGCTGGCCACAGCGGCTCGCCGGGCCTGGTCAAGGGTCTCCAGCTGGCTTACCAGGAAGGGATCGACAAGTTGCGCCTCCCACGAATATTTCGTGGTTGTGCGTGACCAGAGTCGACCGCGAGGGGTAACTCAGTAGAGATGCATGTTACATGCGATAGAAGATGATGTTAAATGCGACATACACGTCCTTGTATCTGTTTGGATATAGTTTGTAGTCTGCGTGACGGAATAAGAATATGTACTAGTCTGTATAACGACACCAGTCCTGTTGCTGTCCTGACAAAGAAAAGGTTGCGCTACATCCAAGCTTTGGCTAGAGGCAATCGACCAATGAATAACAAACACGTATGTGGACACTTAAGCCTAAACGTAGCTTTCTTATCCTTTTGCGCAAAGATGCAAGCGTATAGGAGCTCAGCCAACTAGAGATGCAAAACTGCGCTGATGTGCGTCCGTGACCCACCAAGCCGGCTTCGTGCCCCACCGGAGTCACTTTGCGGAAGGAAATCATTGCATTACGAGCAATGATGAATATACTTGTAATATAGAGAGACATTTACGTAGCACTTCGTGAACCTATGCAACTCTGACGTATATACAAGACCTAAGCATGAAACTAATAATACTAGGCGGTGCGTGTGACTGTGCCTCGTATCACGCTGCGTGTAGTCTTCGTTGCTATAGATCAGTTCATTTCAAGACAGAGTATATAAGCCGGTGGTCACGATCATACTGTCTGACATAATGACCATTTCGCGCACACTTTTTGGTATACCACGTTTCAGAAAAACGTGCCAGAATTCACTTTGAACCCGGACGAGTGGCAGGCCTCTCTACTTGAAAATAAACTTTTCCAAGCCTATAGCACATATCGAACGTAACCTGAAGTCATCGTTGTCTTGAGTTGTTTTTTTTTCTTTAACGACGCAGCAGGACTCGTTCGGTCATTGTTGCAACAGCATGAGTAATTTCGACAGGATGGGCGCAGAAGGCCTCACGTAAAATGTTATTTAAGCTTACATTCTGAAAGAAACAAATCAATAGCAACAAAGAAGGGTTCATCAAACAAACATGATACAGACTTGCAACAAAAGGCGAATTTGTATAAGGTATACGCACGTTATGCATATGCGGGTCCTCTGCTCAAATCAATAGAGTCGAAAAAAAAAAAAAACCTGGGATAAATTTGTCTTACGCAATACCTGAAAACACGAGGCGTCACATGCTATAAGCATGTGACACTAATTAGAGGAAGGAAGCTATGCACAATCGTGATGATTACTTATTTGTTTACTAGCTTCATTACGAGGGAGTATCTGGAACACCGCCAGAACATTGCAAGCCGGGATATTTTGTTTTGCAATGCGGCTGTTCCCGCATCTCCTGCTGCATAGCTCGATGAAGAGCAAGTACACACACATCTGGTACTCAGCAGTCTGGTACGGCGGGAAAATTGGATTTGCAGACGAGAGCAGCGTGGCAGTAATCAAGCGCGAGTTTGTCAGCGTTTGGACGTGGCATCTGTCATGTTCAACTCGAATCTGCGCTGACATTTGCACGGACACACATGCGTCTATCCAATGCAGCGTCTCAGTTTGTGGATCCAGGTACACCGTACAAACTTAGAGAGTAGCACTGGTGCAGCTAAGGTGGGGAATGACGCACACCCGAAAGCAACAGTTTACAGGACGTTCACTGCGCAACAGTTGCCAAGTTCTTCTCTCTTAGCACGTAATGCTTCTGATCTGACCGGCTAGCGCACAGAATACCGGCTACTAGCTGGGTCATTTCTACGGAGGTTATGTACTCAGACACCGCGATAATATAGAACTCGGGACAATGTCGTGTGCCCCCAAAATTTCACTGTTTCGTGTACCTCTCGAAACGAAACTTCAAATGCGCTTTGATACGGTTTGCAAGCGACATTTTCTTCCTATATAAAGAAGCGATGTATGTTTATTCTCACAATTCAAAGACTCGTACAGAGCAAGACCACTTTTTTTTTAGCGCGTTTTTTTTTTGATCGCTGATCGACCATGCGATGCGAGCATTATTGGTGACATAGTACTTCATTTTTTTTCTGGATGCCTCCATGCTATGGCATCACCATTGTGGCAGAACACCGTTTACAAACGTTTCGCTCACTTTTTACTCTGTAGACTTCCACATAAATGGGAATGAATGAAAGCTCGCCTGAATAGAATGACCTTTACCACAGGACTGAAGTGTAACACATTACCAGTCTAGCAATTACCATGCGTACTTACCATTACGTATAATATCTCTATATACACCGCTTATATTACACCCCTAGAGGGCTGTTTAAGGTAATAACGTGCCTCAACTGCACATTGGCATCGCGTTTTCTGACTATGCTGAAAAAGTGTTGCAGGGCTTCTTTTAAGAGACGTGTCCGAAAACACAACTACATGGGGTGCTTTTCGTCGTATGTGATGACGAAATAACCAAGATCGGGGTCAACAACCTGCAACCAGGAGGCCGCAATGCGGCCTGCTAAGCAATCCTATCCCAATATGAGAACACCTCTTCCACTCCTTCCCTCGTGGCTTCCTATCTGAAGGCTGGTATGGCAGTTTTGACGTATGGGGTTTTTCCTTGCAACTTATGTTAGTAAATCACAACATTGTGACATGTCTACAGAAAATAAACACAATTTTTATACCAATTTTGTACCTTGTAAATAATTTTTTTTCCTTTTCCTTGCCTGCAAAGTTTTTTCCTCCGCCGCCTCCAAAACTTGCTGTCCGGGCCCCCGCTGCGCCGGCTTCATGAAAACTTGGCCCTTCGCCTCAAAAGGTTAATCGCCAACCCCTGGTCTAGATCAAAGTTTAAGGGGCGCAGTGAAGTGCCTATATGCTTCTACTCACATGACCATGGCTGAGTTCTTGAGGATGCGACCACATGGTCCGAACTGGTACACGGGACTTGGGGCATTCAGAGACCGGGTCCTCCTGCAAAAAAAGAAAAAAAAGCGTTTAGAGCAAAGCAATGTATGTATACTTCATACGTGGTTATAGAAAGTCGTCAAACTAGAGGTAGCCTATAACTGAAATTTCAAACGAAGCTCATTCTGGTATTGTCGGAAAAGCGAAATGATATTTTCTCAAAGCAAGCATGTGCCGTAACAGCCCGCTTGCGCTACCAGGCGACCGAGGAGAGTAAGTCACAAGTCGTTATAGAAGCGTGCCGGTATGCGGTGCAGCAGATGCGAAGCAGCGGCTTTTTGCTATGCTGTTCGGTGACGGGACGTCACGCGCCATATATAAGCAGCACATCAGTGGTGATCCCAATCCTAGAGCATGAAAAAGTAGCAGCATGGAAGGGGATTCCAAAGTCTGCGACAAAACAGAAACAAAAGCAAAGAAATACAAGCAAATATTGCAGCAATAAAACCAGCGAAAATAAAATATCGTACATGACTAATCCATGAAAAAATGGGCGAACGTATTCATTTTCTGTTAGTTCTGCGCATATACAAATTGTGCCATTAATGAAAAAAAATTGTGCATCGTTTTTTTTCTTTCAGCTCTAAAGCTTTTGCGACTAAGTGCTTTGGTGTTGGCAGAATATCACCTTGTCCAATCGTATTTGTTATTTCTTGGTCATCTTCTTTTGATCGCCTTTTTCTAGTTCATGTTGTGGTATCTATTCCGCCACAAAAGGGAATGAACTTCATTATTTAAAGTTGACGCTTTGTTGTGCGTGTATCCTGCTTGTGCCCCGTCGATCACTTGCGCTTAAAATCTACAGTCCTGCTTTACGAACATACCCAGTCTTCAACCTTGGCAAAGTAAAGACGCTGACCCACAGCAAAGCGCGGGGATATCCATAAACAGCACACTCTGTAGGCGCTGCCTGCCAATCGAGGGAGCCCAACTTGTGACTTTCTTGAGACATTAACTGCTTTGTAAGAAAAAAGAAATGTTGTAAATGAGTGAGGAAGAGCCATGCCTATCGTATTACTATCGTATTCACTCACGGCAATATGAAAATGATTCAATAACCAATCTGCGTGCGCTAGGAAACAAGAAAACGCAAATGTGAAATTAAAAGCGTTTTCACGTGTACTTGAACAGAGCCTTTCCCCGGTTCTTGGGCCGGCCAAAGAGACTTATCATTTGTCAGCCCCAATGTGCGCGACGCCTATGTTGCTTACTTTATAGTACAAATGCTAACGAGAATACGGTAAGCAATATTTACACGTTAAGGAAACAGCTCTGAAGCCCTACATTAGTCGACTTTACACCGTTGTTACATTCATCCATAGAAGCATAACAATACACTTTGATTGGTTATAGATGGACGGATGATCATATTTCAGACACTCTGCATATTAGAAGACTGCAATGAGTCGACTAGGACCAGCAGCGCTTCTTCAACGCGTTCGAATAACTGGCAGGGAGTGAACGTTTTTCAGTGCCTCAATTAACCGCTTCAACGTGCGACCGCCGCGGCCAATAATTGGAGAGGTGCCATAGCGTTGGACGGCGAAAAAAGCAACTATCAGCTCAGGGGAGAGTACACTTCTCAGGGAAGCCAGACAGAGACAAAAAATGTCACCAAACCACACCCACGAGTGTGCTTAAGGTTCGACATGGGTGTTTCACTTAAAACTAAGGTCGAAGTAGCGTTATTCAAAAGACGACAAGCGTCTCATCGAAGACTGCACACGTCGCGAAGCAGGCCTACCCTGTGAGTTTCCACTTTTTTGCTGACGACGTAGTGTTCAACGAGGCCACGCTAGCCCGGTGACCGGTCTGGCGAGACGTCCGCAAGTTCCCCATCGCGAGGACTCGGAACAACGGATGTTCGGTGGACGGTCGCGTGAGAGAATCGACGCTGCGTCGTAAATCACACTCTCCGTATTATAAAACTACTACAGGTACGTAGCTAGGCGGTACAACCAATAACGGGCAAAGAAAACGGGGCCACTTGGCCAGGTAGACGCAACAAAGCGAGGACATTCACCAGCAATCGGCGATGGTGTCCATGACGTTTGGCAGAGCGACGATTGAGACGACGAAGACGATGACCGGTGGCGCTTTTCGACGTCCTCGTCGTCTTCTCGGACAAGCAAGTAGGCGACGGCAAAACGAGATTGCCGCATGAACCGTCTCAGTTCAAGAATGCCTCAGTTCAAGAATGGGAACGTCGTGGTACACGAAGAACGCGAAGAAGACGCTTGAAGCACACCGAGACCCCGAAGTGGGTTTGAACCATTCATGGAAGACAACAACAACAACAATAAGTACTTATTCCCCCTCGCAGTCTGTCGTTGTTCTTCGTTTCTTGGCGAGTACGTCGCGTAGTCGTTGAGATAGGAACATGCACAATGCCGCTGATGCTGTTGGTACTGTTGTTTACGTCGTCATTGGATACACGAGGCATAGAAAAGAAAGCAACACCCTGGAGACACACAAGAACTCGCATGTCACGCGGGCATGCCGCGCCCCACAGACGAACAAGTGAAAGCCGTGATGATGATGGTGATGTTCCTTCACATATGGCACGTACCCATACTGGGGGATGGTCAATGTCTTGTGCTTCAGCGACAAGAGCCCACCTTCTCCAGTCACTGGCCACAGAAGCGAACAGCGGTTCTCACGGATGGCGCTAGCGTACTGCCAACACCACTGATGTTACGCCTGCATGTACACGCTGTGGCGGCCTATATAGTATCTGCTGCTCTACACTGCACCCTGTATACAGCTGTATACACGACCTGGACGCCGGGCCATGCGACGCGCGCACCGCCAAGTCAGCGCTGTTTTGAGCACCGTTCGGACAGCAAGTGGGACGGAAACTCCAAGTGGCCCTCGTACAGCGAGAAGCAGCGCATCGATTGCGAAGCGGTGCCCTTGGACGTCAGCCGAACGCGTCACTCCCCTCCGTGCAGCCCACACCGTTCGATAAGTTTGTGCGCGAAACGTGTACTGCGTGCGGAGGCTCACTTTCGCTTTGATTTGTCTCCGCCTTCCTTTTATTTTATTTTTTCTTTAACGGTGCAGTCTATGCTTTGCCGTTCTGACAGCACATCGGACGGTACGTATTGGTTTGGTTTGGAAAAACTTTATTGACAAGTCCGAAGGCGTGCGCCCTAGCACACGGCGGGCCGCTCCCACGATGGGACAGTAAGGCCGAGCCCTAGCGCCGCATCGTGGGCCCTCTGGACAGCCCAAAGTTGCGATGTTATGTCTGGACTCCGGAGAGCGGAGTCCCACTTTCTGGACGATGCTGTATCGGTGCCACGTACCGAAGGGCACTCCCAGAGCATGTGGTGTAAGGTGGCTAAACCGCCACATTTTGTACACGAGTTGGTTAAATAAACATCAGGATAAAGCTTGTGAAGAAAGGCAGGGTTAGGGTACGTTTCTGTTTGAAGTAATCGCAATGTAAGCGCCTGCGCTCTATTTAGCTTCGCATGTGGAGGTGGAAAGATTCTCCTATCCATAGCGAAATGTTGGGTACGTATGAACATCGTATAATAACGGTCCTCGCTTGCGAACACCTGCAGATGAAAGCGTGCAGGTGTAACAGCTGTACGCTTCAGTTCGGAGACCTGCTGCGGTCTACACAGCACGGTACCATTCCTGTGTCAGAATTAAAAGTGAGGGCGAAAGATATTGAACGGGAGAGAGCGAGCGACAGACAGAGCGATAAAAATAGAGGAAAATTAGCTTGCTACAATCAAAATGTTTTCGTGTAGCGTTTTAATAGTTGTCACGAACTCTTTTTAGCAAACATCACTTTTTCGGCATGCTGGAGCGTCAGGTGTAGTGATCGCGTGTCCCTTTGGGAAACTTATTTTATTTTAGTAATTAGTTGTTTCAAAGAAGTCGGTCGGGCATACACCTATATGGTCAAGCTACTCTGCCCTGTAGTGACCGGAGTGTGTTCAGAAAAAAAACTTGAAGGACACTTGAACGCTTGAGCTTCGCCTTAAACAGTGGAACATGGTCGGGTGTCTAGCCCATCACCGTCGACCGTGTTGTAAGGAAAAGAACATTTGCGTGCGTAACAATGGCCTTGATAAGACAGGTGCTTGGGCTAGTTGGTGATTGGAAATCAACTTATTTGCGCTCTTTATGTCCTTGTCTCTTCTTCTGTAGTTACGTTGTAACTATACTCGTAGTCTTGCGCTGTACAAATATGTTGTAACACTGGCCATTTTAAGCCATTATAAAATACCTGCCACAAGTACAGTTGCATAGTGCCCCAATGCCATAATTCTTCGTTTTGCAAATCGGAAAAGTAGGCAGTTTGCTCCCGTGCAAGGCACCACGTGCAGCTGCCTGTCTGACAATTGGTATTGGGTGGGCAGTTTCACACCAGCCACTCGTTGTGAATTTCACATGTTCCGACACCTGGTGCGATTTTAAGATTCTGCCACGCAATATTGCATGTGTCAAGGACACTACGTACCGTAGATAATATCTTATAGCATTTCTTACAAAGCAATGTCAGGCACCGGCGTGGCTCAGTGGTAGAATACATTCTTGCTGCGCAGACTACCACCAGATATTTTCTGTTATCATTCATTTGCATCTAGCTCAAAGTGTCGCTCACGGATAACGCCGAGTTTCTCGCTCCCAATCAATGCTGTTGACATCCACGCCGCAATTTCAGACCTCAAGCTGATCGACAGGTTCTCATTGAATGATTGATTGATTGATACAGGGGCCCTGGACTAAGGACTCCAGGAGAATTACTTGTCTAGGATGAAGCTCTCACAGCGAAGCTCCTCGGGACGACACGATATTCGTCCGGCTTCTGTCCGTCCAGGCGCAGTGCACAGTCGAAGCGCACGTGGTAAACATCTGTGCGCAAAACCGTTACCAGAGCGCACATAGCGCGCACATGATTAAAAAATAAAAGGCCACAACACCGTAAGAACATAGACATTTAACCACCCATCAATCGTAGCGTACGGCAAAGGAAAAGCTTAACCAGA